TATATATATTAATCTCAGTACTCTAGGAGGTGTAGCAGAGGGATTGCCAATCGGAACCAAGCCTGGGCAACTTAGTGAATCAGTGAGACCTTAGATCAAAATGAAAAATAAGAAAAGGGATGAAAATGTAACTCCAGGTGAAGGCCCTGGGCTTAATCTTCAGTAATACAAAACAAAACAAAGTAACACAACACAAAACAAAACAATAGCAGGCAGGATTCTTAGAGAAAAGGATGGCCAATTCCTGGCCCACAATAATCATATAGATAGCAAGGAAAACTATAAATCACTAATGATATTATGTCAAAAAGACTAAAGGATCCCACTTATGCCTTTATACCATAAGATGGGAAATTGAGGATCAAAAGCAAAAATAAGTACAATGAGCTGAAGTACATTATACTAAAACCATGCAAGTACATTAAAGAAATCTGATGGGCCAATATTGGAGAACATTGGAATGTTGGCTCACTATTGCCCAACAAAGGCAAGGCAGGAGACATTACAATCCCTGACTTGAAATTATACTACAAAGCTACTATGATACTATCAACATAGTATTGGCAAGAAAACAGACTTGAGAATCAGTGGAACAAATTAGAAGATGCAGACACAACTACAAACACAATTAGCCTCCTTATCTTTGTCTAAGGGGCCAAACATGTTTTCTGAAAGAAAGGTAGCCTCTTTAACACATGGTGCTAGAAAAAGTGGCTCTCCACATGCTGAAAACTAAACCTAGATCCAGGTCTATTACCATGTACTAAACTAAAGCACAAATGTATTAAATGTCCAAATATTAAAACAGAAACAGGCTGGACATAATGGTGCACACCTGTAATCCCAGCACACAACAGGCTGAGGCATGAATATTGTTGTCAGTTTGAGACCAACCGGGGCTACAAGGTGAGCACAAGGCCAGCCTGAACTGCATAGTGAGACCCTAGGTCAAAGAAATAGACGTAAATTAAAATAAAATAAAATTTAAACACTAAATCTACCTAAGAGAATAAATCTTTTTTTTTTTTTTTTTTTTTTTTGGGTTTTTTAATTTTTTTTTTTTTTTTTTTTTTTTTTTTTTGAAGATTACAGCATTTAATGCTTTTCAAGTTGAATTTCTACAGTTAGCCGGATGACACGAGTGACTAGGACTCAGACCACATAGCAGGGAATGTCCACTGGGCAATCCCAATTGCGCCACAAGCCAGATGACTTCTAGGATTTCCTGTCTTTGTACTTTCTCCATTTCCACCTTTGCCTGGGTCATCTGGTTTCTCGAGGACTACCATCATGCGGCCAATGATGGAACTGGCTCCTGAGAGTGAGATCAGAGAATCTTCAGTAGATACATGGGCCACACCATCTGCAC